ATTCCTAAGTATTTCATCCTTTGCATGGCTATTATAAATGGTATTGCTTCCTTAATGTCCTTTTCATTGTTATTGCTGTTGCTATAGAGAAATCCAATTGATTTTTGTATGTTGATCTTATACCCTGCCACTTTGCTGAATCTTTCAATGAGGTCTAATAGTTTTTTTACTGAGTCTTTGGGGTTTTCTATGTATGGGATCGTATCATCTGCAGATAAGGAGAGTTTTACTTCTTCTTTGCCAATTTGGATGCCTTTAATTTCTTTATCATGCCGTATACCTCTGGCTAAAAGTTCCAGCACAATATTGAATAGGAGCAGTGATAAAGGGCATCCTTGTCTGGTTCCTGTTCACAGGGGGAAGGCTTTCAGTGTCTCTCCATTGAGTGTGATGTAGGCTCTTGGTTTTGAATATATGTTCTTGATTGTGTTGAGGAATTTCCCTTCAATTCCTACTTTGTTGAGTGTTTTTATCAGGAACGGATGTTGGATTTTGTCAAATGTCTTTTCTGCATCAATCGATATGATCATGTGGTTCTTTTCCTTTTTCTTATTTATATGATGGATTACGCTGATCATTTTCCTAATGTTGAACCATCCTTGCATCCCTTTTATGAAGCCCATTGGTCATGGTGTATTATATTTTTGATGTGTTGTTGGGACACCACATATATTGGATAAGTCCTTTCAAATGTTTTTCAGAACCACAAGAATGGAGTATACTTCAAAACAAACAACAAAAACTTCCAACTGCTAATCACTATATGCCAGACACAAGCTTAAAGTCTTCTTAAAAAGCTCACCACAAGGGAATATGAAATTCTCAAGCTATAGTAAACAAACATATGACTGTAACTTTTGCTACTGTTTGGTATTAATTATTCTTGGCTTGAAATGTAGGGAAACAAAAAAAGTAAGTGCATAGCTAGCAACTTAAAGAGAATATAAAAACAGGAAATGGTTGTAAGTCTTTGTCAAATCATTTATCCACTGCCTTAAAAAACTGCAAGTCAACTAGGGGTATAGCTTAACACAAAGTCAGAACTGAGAGAAGCACAATGTTTATATTCCTGTTATACCAAAATCTTACTGAGACAATAAACAGACTGAGAAGATGTGGCATGCGTCTCAAGTTGGGTTGATGCCAGAAAACTGGGTGAAGGTTAATAAAGATGGTATGTTTAGTAAACCGTGCTCAACCCCTGAAAACTGCACATGTTGTTGTTGTTAAGTGCTGTAGAGTCAGTTCTAACCCATAGTGATCCTGTATACTTCTTCCAAGGAGCAGATGGTGAGTTTGAACCACCAACCTTTCAATTCAAGCCGACCTTTCGGCCAAGTGCTTATCCTATAGCACCACATCAGGACTCCACATTTGTTGTTGTTAGGTGCCATTTAGTTGGTTACAACTCATAGCTACTCTATGCACAACTGCCTGGTCCTGGGTCAACCTCACAATTGTTGCTACGCTTGACCCCATTGATGCTGCCACTTGGCCAATCCATCTCACTGGGGTTCTTCCTCTTTTACTCTGACCCTCCACCTTACCAAACGTGATATCCTTCTCCAGAGACTGGTCCCTCCTGACGGTATGTCTGAAGTACGAGAGAAGAAGTTTGGCCATCCTGGCCTCCAAGGAACACTCTGGCTGTACTTCTTCCAACACAGATCTGTTGGCTCTTTTGGCAGCCCATGGCACTTGCAATATTCTCCTCCAACACCATAACTGAAAAGCATCAACTCTTCTATAGTCTTCCTTATTCACTGTCCAGCTTTTGTATGCATATGAGGTTATTGAAAATACCATGGCTTGGGTTAGGTGCACCTTAGTCCTCAATCTGACATCTTTACTCTTCAACACTTTAAACAGGTCTTGTGCAGCAGATTTGCCTAATGCAATATGTCATTTGATTTCTTGACTGCTGCTTCCATTTGTGTTGATTGTTGATTCAAGAAAAGTGAAGTCCTTGACAAATTCAATCTTTTCTCCATTAATAAGAATGTTGTTTACTGGTCCAGTGGTGAGGATTTTTCTTTACATTGAGATTCAATCCATATAGAAGGCTGTGGTCTTTGATCTTCATCACTAAATATTTTATGTCTTCTTCACTTTCAGCAAGCAAGGTTGTATCATCTGCATATTGAAGGTTGTTAATGAGTCTTCCTCCAATCCTGATGCCTCGTTTTTCTTCATAGAACCCAGCTTCTTGGATTATTTGCTTAGCATATAGGTTGAATAAGTATGGTGAAAGAATACAACCCTGTCACACACCTTTCTTAATTTTAAACCACTCAGTGTTCCCATGTTCTGTTTGAACAACTGCCTTTTTGGTCCATGTACAGATTACTCATGAGCACAATTAAGTGTTCCAGAATACTCATACTTCGTAATGTTGTCCATAGCTTGTCATGATCCACACAATCGAAAGACATTGCATAGTCAATAAAGCACAAGTAAACCTCTTTCTGGTATTCTCTGCTTTCAGCCAAGATCCATCTGATGTCAGCAATGCTATCCCTTGTTCCATGTACTCTTCTGAATCCAGCTTGAACCTCTGGAAGTACTCTGTTAATGTATGGTTGCAACCATTTCTATATTACCTTTAGTAAAACTTTACTCGCACGGGATATCAATATTATCCAATGATTTCTGCATTCCGTTGGGTCACCTCTTTTTGGAATGGGCACAAATATGGATCTCTTCCAATCAGTTGGCCAGATAGTTGTCTTCCAAATTTTTTGGTATAGATGAGTGAGTGCCTCCAGTGCTGTCTCACTCATAAACTAATGCATATAGCATTTTACCGTTTCGGTGAGTTTAAAATGCCCCAAAGACCATCTGTGGGCCAAGACTATGAACAAGTGAAGGTTAGGAAAGCACCCCAGAGAAGACAGTCAAGGGGGTACAAAGAAATCATTTTGGTGGAGAAAGTTTTGGGGTCAGGGAGTAGGAAAGCCACTGTTTTCATGTTCAGATGGATTTTAAATTCATGGTTTTGATCCAGAAGTGAATGGATCCAGGAACTAGAAAGATAGATCCTTTATTCCAAATGCCTAGTTACAAGAGGGAGAGGCTACACCTTGAAATGTGGCTGGATAATAATCATTGTTAGAAAATCCAGGAGGGAGAGATGCATACAGGGAAGAGGTAGGGCTGGGTAAAAATATGCCCAGAGTCTGGAGTTAGACAGACCTGGTATCAGACTCCCCACCCTTAGCGTATTGTTGAGACGGTTGGTTAATACCTCTAAGCTGTGGCACAATCATTTAAATTCAACTATTAACCTAAAGGACTCCTGGTGTAGGATCAGCACTGGACTACAAACCAAAAGGTGGGCAGTTCAAGCTCACCAGTTGCTTCTTGGAAACCCTGTACAGAACCACCTAAGTCATAACAGACTTGACAGCACTTAACAACAACAACAACAACAATATTAACCTAAAAGTTGGTAATTAAAAAACACCACAAAAGAAAGTTCTGGGGATCTGTTTTTTAGTAGAGATTCAAGCCAAGAAAAACATATGGAGTGCAGTTCAATGACAAAGGGCTTAGTTGGGTTTAAGTAGGTTGTTAACACAGCTAATATGTCTAGTACAGTGTCTGGCACTAGTAGTGGTCCTTAGCAAATGGTAACATTTTCCACGAGCAGATTTGGAGAATGACATTAACCATTCTTACCAACAACACCAACTGAGTACACAGGCTTTGCCGATGCAGTCTTCCAGGATGCTCCAGATGGAGTTGACCACTTGCTTGTCTTCCTCTCAGCAAAAAAAGCATATTGCAGGGCTTTAGCTTGTCCAGATTGCCGAAGGTACATAAACAGCTCCTCCTCCTTCTTGGCACCTGCCTCATAAGGAAACTGCACAGCAGCCTGAACCGCACGGACACAACTCTCCTGAGAAAGGCACCCAGGGTACTGCTTACGCATCTTCAGAAGGGCTTCGCTGAAAATGATGTCCATGTTGGGCAAGGTCTGAATTGGTTTGTTGTAGAGTCTACGGGATTCCAGAGATTGATCTGAAAGGAACAAGACAGGAAATCAGATCTTTGGAAATGTTCATTAATACAACGGGAATGTGAGCAGATAGTGATAATAAAACAACAACCTGTTCAAACTCAAAAGAAGACATTTTGGTAGGGAAAGTTTAGGGGGGTAGAAAGTGGAATGCAACTATTTTAGAGTTCAGATGGATTTTAAGATAGTGGTTTTAAACCAGAAATGAACAGATCCAGGAACTGGAGAAACAGATCCTTTATTCTAAATGCCTACATAATTTGATTTACAAATTGTAGTAATGCTATTATTCATCAAGATAGTGAGTACAACTCTAATATAAAAATCTCTGACCTCTTTACAATTTAATCTTATAAAATAGATTTTAATGGATTCAAAGAAATTTTTAAGTTACCTAATTCAGGCATCAAACTTGCATTTTTCTTTTATTCCAACGTCAAGATAACTTTAAAATAGATTAAATATTAATCTATCAATGAATTTAAGGAAAATAGTTTGGGGTTAATAATATTTTAAATTCAAAATAATCTTAACTCCATTCCAAGTAGTAACAAAGAAAAGAAGACTGTGATGTTAATGCAAGGATAGGCATACCTATCAATGAAAGGGAATTTAGAGCTCAGCAATAAACCCTTACAATTATGGCCAATTGATTTTCCATAAAGATACATGGCAAGACCTTTGAGGAAAAAAAGAGTCTTTTCAATAAATGGACAGTTGGATACCCACATGCAAAAATTAAAATGAACTTAGATTTTTACAAAGCTCTACAAAAAATATCAACCCACAACAGATCATAAATCTAAATTTAAGATCTAAAATAATAAAAATTTTAAAAGAAAGCAGAAAATAATGAGAGATTTCAATAGGCAGCTTATTCCTAGACAAAACATCAAAGCATGACCTATAAAAGAAAAAACGTCAGTCAGCTGGATGTTATCAAAATTTTAAACTTTTGCACTTCGAAGCATACCATCATGAAAACAAAATGATAAACCATAGACTTTTGCCATTTGTGTGGCAGACAGAATAATGACCCACCTAAACATGTTCACATGGCACTGTTGGATAACACTATACTGCTAACCAAAAGGTTGGTGGTTCAAACCTACCAGTTATTCCTTGGAAAGCCTGTACAGGGTCGTTATGAGTTGGACCCAACTCAATGGCACTTGACAACAACAATGACAACAAAGATGTTCACATCCTAATCCCCAGAACCTGTGAATGTCACCTTACATGGCAAAAAGGACTTTACAAATGTGATTAAATTTTTAAATGTTGAGATTGAGAGATTATCCTATTGGACTCGATCTAATCTTTAGATGCAGAAAACTTTTTCTGACTGTGTTGAGAAAGAAAGTAAAACATGAAAGAAGAGTCAGAAAATGCAACATAAAAAGACTCAATTTGCCTTTGCTGGCTTTACAGATGGGAGAATGCAGCAGTCTGTAGAAGCTAAAAATGATTCTTAGTTTAGTTAGAAACAAAATGGGGACATTGGTCCTACAATAAGGTGCCCTGGTTAGTTTGAATCACAAGGTCGGCAGTTAAAACTCACCAGTTGCTTCTGTTGTTGTTGTTAGGTGCCATTGAGACAGTACCTACTCATAGCGACCTTATGCACAGCAGAACAAAACACTGCCCGATCCTGAGCCAACATCACTATCGTTGCCACACTTGAGCCCACTGATGCTGCCACTTTGCCAGTCCATCTCACTGAGGGCCTTCCTCTTTCTCTGACCCTCCACCCTACCAAGCATGATATCCTTCTCCAGCGACTGGTCCTTCCTGACAATATGTATGAAGTATGAGAAACGACGTTTGGCCATCTTGGCCTCCAAGGAGCACTCTGGTTGTACTTCTTCCAACACAGATTTGTTGGTTCTTTTGGCAGCCCATGGCACTTGCAATA